AGAGTGAGACTCTGTCTCAAAAAAAAAAAAAAAAAAATCAATGCAGCTAGATTAGGGACTTTAAGAGCAGATCTCTTTTAGACCTTGGGGTGGGGAAGCATTTTTAAAGAAAACAATAAAAAGCCATAAAATAAAATAAAATATTGATAAATTTGCCTAGGTTAAAAGTAAGAACTTTTGTTTATCAAATGACACCTTAAAATGAGTAAAAAGACAAGTTCCAAGCTGGGATAAGATCTTGGAATACACACAACTGATAAAGAGTATTGAGAATATTTAAAGAATATCTATAAACCCAAAAGGAAAGCGGGAAAATGACACAAACAGGCATTTGTCAGAAGAAGAAATACATATGGCCTATACATACATAAAAAGATGTTTATTATCATTGGAAATGGAAATCAAGAACATACTGAAATACCATGTTATACCAATTTGATAGACAAAAGTTCAAAGTTGTAATAATACTAAGCATTTGAGAGGATGTAGATCTACAGGACCTCTTGAATACTGCTAATGGTATAAATTGGTACAGACACTTTGGAAAATATTTTGGAAAGTTGAGTATTCATATACTTTATGACCTGGGTACCCCGGAGAAAATCTTTCCCATGTACTAGAAGACATCTACGTGGATGTAACATCATTCATGTAGCACTTTCTATTCCAATAACCTGCCGCACTCACTGTACCCTAAGCAACCTGACGTTGTTATCTCTTTGATTCTCCTATCTTGTCACTCCCCCACCTTCATGATAACCTGAGATTCTCCCCTCTTCCCCTTACCCAATTTTTCTCCATTTTTCTAGACATTATGCAAGGTTCTTGAACTAATAGTGTAGAATTGGGTACATATACATAAAAGAGGCACGTTTTCATGAAGTTTTCCCTCTAAATAAACAGACCTTTTGAAGGCGGCATCATAGTTTCCTTCTCCCTCTGCTCCTATCCTTTACTGATTTGGCCCTTGTACAAAATACCTTCTTTCTTTTTTTTGAGCTACTACTGGATTCTAAGGAAGTTAAATTCAATCATAAAAACTGCTCTTCAATTATAGATTTAGACTTGGTTCTTTCGGTTGTATGGTAAATTAGAACCTTGAAGATGTTCTACCTAATTGATCACAGGTTAAATCTTTCATCTATCTTACTATCAATTCCACAAAGGCAAATGGACATATCACCTAGGAAGTTTACTAAATTTGCCCATTTCTGGTTGTTTTACTAGAAACAACTAAACTTACGCCTTTAGTATTTGAAATTAATGATAACATTCACCATGTTGACAGAACATCGGAGATCATTATTTGAATACTAGAAATGAAACAGTGGACACATCGACAGATAAAATAAATGATCTTTTGAAAATTTAACCCATTTCAAAAACAGCTTCTATTTGTCAGCTTTGAAATAGACCACTCTGTATTAAGAAAGGATTAATGAGGACATGCTTTGAACATAATTACTGAGAAATTAAGCCAAAAATAAAATTATCTCCAGGCATCGCCGAATGGAGGCTGTGCGACTGCGAAAAGAGAACCAGATCTATAGTGCTGATGAGAAGAGGGCCCTTGCATCCTTTAACCAAGAAGAGAGACGAAAGAGGGAGAACAAGATTCTGGCCAGTTTTCGAGAGATGGTATACAGAAAGACCAAAGGGAAGGATGACAAATAAAGATTTTCTGATATTCAACAGACATTTTTAACAACAAAAAAGAAAGTCTGGATTCCACACATAAACACAAAAAGATTATCATGCTCTGAAGAAGCTTTACAGTGCTATACTGTGCCTTCTATTTAATTCTTTCAGTCCTTCAACAAAAAGCTGCTTATTGATATAACTTTAGCAAGTTCTTTGGGTTATTTTGGATTGACCATAATAACTTTCTGGTTTAAAAATCCAAATTATGAATGAAATTCTACTATAGTGGGGGAGGTGGCATGGAGAGAGAAAGTGTCAGTGAGATGAGGAACTTAAATCTCATGCCATGGGACAGTGCTTCCATTAGCTCTACAGGAAGGCCATCCCACCCTCACCTCTACCCCAACTGAACTTGTGGGAAATTATCATTCCTCTGTGTTGAATATGTTATAAATTGACTTGATAGAAACATAAAGGAGGACACTTCTGTTAACAAAGTGAAAGCATTGCTGAAAAAAGCAAATCTGGAAGTTGAAAACTTTCTTGTATAATATAATATATAGTCTGCCCTGGAAATAATGTATTTCGGTTTAAATCCCTACCTCCACTCCAAAACCAACAAACAAACCAAAAAGCAAACTAACCCACAGACTTGTTGAATTAAAAATGTGAAAATTAGATTTTTTAAATTCTTGGTAAGTTACTTAAAAATGGTTCATTCAAATATAAAGTCTTGGGGAGTCTATTGTTGTGCCAGTGTAAGTACATTTTTCAATCTAAGTTCTACTTTGATGATAGGATAACATCTAAAAAGAATGGGAGTCAACTATGCTCAAGAGTTCTGATAGGAAAAATATAGTGAATCAGTATTTTAACTTAGCTGTTTCATAAGGATGAAGCTAAAATGATACTAAACATGTTTTAACTCTGTCCTTTGTATAATAAATAGATTTCATTTTAAACATTTACACCTTTCAGTTTATTTTTTTGCGTGTCATTCAGTTTAATCCTTAATGTTGTATAGAACCCCCTCACTTTATCACTTTTTTATGCTATTATTGACTTTTAAGTTTGCAAGAAATGGAAAATTGTGGGACTATGAAATCATGATCTTTTTCCTTCACTTAACTTTGTTCAATTTTAGTTAGGTCACAAGAATGAAGGGGGAGGGGACAGTGGAAGTTTTGGCTTCTTCTGGTAAGGTTGTTTCGATCTGCATTATTATTACATGTCTAGGATAAATTGAAATTACCTGGGTGATGGAGAAATTCTGACTATGCTGTTACAAAATGCCCTCTCACCTTATAGTGGTTATTTTTCAAAAGTTATAAAGCAGTCATATTTCAAAGTATAGAGCAAAATTTTTACTATTTAGCATATGTCCTAGGAAAATGTCTACTTTTAACCCACACTTACTGAACTAAACAGCAGTCGGCTTGTAGCAACATTTATGACCTCTGAATTTGAAATGATTTCTATTTATTTATATCTCATCATAGTTGCTGCCTAGCCTAATAAATCTGTAGATTCCTTAAGTTAAAAGGAAACTAGCTTCCAAACTTGTGATGGATTAAGATCCATCTACTTTCCTGTATAATAAAACCTAAATTTTATAATCCCACTTAAAAATTTTATTCTCTAAGGGCATTATTTTTTTGTTACTGGTTCCTAGAGATAGAATGTGAGTATGTTCTCTTATTTTCAGTAGGCAAGGTAGTTTAAATGCAGCAATTTTGTGATATATGAATATTGTGAATTTTCATTTTTTTTCCTATCTCCTCTATAGAGTAGATACTCAACAAATGTTTGTTAAATAAATGAAAGAGAAGATGTTAATTTATTTCAGAACCTTACCATTTCTTTCATCAGAGTTTTTTCAGGAAAGGTCTGCCAAAAGATAGCTTCAGTAGCATTTTCTTTGGGAAAGAGAAGAAGAAAAGGGCTAAAAGTATTTTTTTATTTTCAGCTTATGAGTGTTAACTGCTTCTATCAGTGTTTAGTCACCTGAGCCATAAGTCAAATTGTAGGGGTGTTGTATTTTAAATATATTTTTTGTTCTCTGAGGAGACTTACCTAGTTTCCCACCTCCTTGCCTGTTGCTCTAATAGGATTTTCCCTCCTTGTTATTTATTGCACAAATATAACAGTAAAAAAAAGAAGAAGAAAGAAAAATTCACAGTACTACATCAATTGTCTTTAGTATGCTGTGTTCCTTTCCAGTGCTTACCTATGTAAATACATATTCTGATGTACTTGTAAGTAATCACTCAAAATAAAATGTAATTTTGTCTTTGGTGTCTTAAAATTTTGCAGCCAGGCAAGAGAGCTTTACAGAGAAAGTAGGAACAAGTGATGATCTGGCATTAGGATAGGAAGAAGACCAGAGATAAGTAAGGATAGTGGTTGAACCCATCCCTGTTTCATTGCCCTCAGTCCTCAAGCCACCCTGCTGTTATCATGAGTGTGATGATGTGTTATGGAAGGCAGCATGCCGGTTTCAGAGTTTCAAAATGTATTGTTTAGCAGTGAGCCTTAACTCACAGTAAACGAAGGGATCTGTGAGTAGTAAAACCCTTTAGACTGCTTATGTTATGATCTGTAGAACTGTCGCCATTTTCTTGTTCCCCGATTCTGCCCATAAAGAGAGGTGTGTCTGGCTAGAGATTTAGGCTCTGATGGAGGAACAGGCAGCCAAGTACCAATCTTAGTTTGGTTTGACAGGTGAATTTTAGCAGTTCTCTAAACTCAGCTCTATACCTGTCAGACCCCGAAATGATGTATAGTAATGGGAAAAATCTTTTAGAAAATAGAAAACAACTTACTGGTTACTTTGCTAATGTGATGGAAGTTGCAGAATGGAAAATGAATGAATGCAAAAAATATAGCTGGATTGTGTGCCACAAGTTTATTATTCAATAAATATTCTGTGGTTTGATGTGCAGTATCATATTTTTATATATTATAATTAGAACAACAATCCTAAAACATTCTGTAAGAATCACACAATATTGAGTGATGACTTGACTGACTGTATTAAAATATTTTTGATATCAATAATGTCCCTCGGCCATTTTTCTCGAAAGCGAAGCATTCCTGGTCTACGGAGGAAGAAAAACAAACACACCAAAAGCTTTTAAAATCAAACAAAACATTGAGCCAGGGATTCCCTGTTTACTCTGTTACATTCTGGTAAGCAAGAAGCCTATTTTATTGGCAGGGGAGGTGGTGAGGGTTTTCTCTGTCCTTTACTGTGTCTTAGGCCAAGTCAATGAAAGGATTAATGAGCTTATATGTAAAGATTCTTTAAGACAGCTGCTATACAAATAAAAGAGATTATTAGACATGAGTTAATTTTATGTGATTTCAAAGTTTCGCATAGAAACAATAGACATGAACCACTTTGCTCCCACCCTACTCCAGCAGCTAATCCTCAAGTTTATAATTACTGTAAAACCAGACACTAAGAAAAAAAATTATCTTAAACAATGGCAGAATTCTACTTTCAGCCCCATTCTAATGGGGTAAGTGGTCCAAAGAAGAAAAGTGACCATTACGTGAATTATCTGTGGCTGTGTGCTTGCTGGATTCCTGGAGTATGATGACCTCCCACCCTTTTAAAATGAGTCCCCAAATATTCATTACCTTTGAACTAATGAAAGCTCCTCAAAGATATAAGAGACATCAATAGGTGCATCCTAAGAAAGAAAAGGACAGCTGTCAGCCTAGACCACTCATACCAACTCTTAATTCCTTCCATCCCTACACTTGTCCACAAGTATACTCTTGAATTTCCAGAATTCATCTTCCTAATGAATTGGGAGTCTGTAGGTGGTAGTTTTTTGTTGCTTCAAACCTCTGTTCCCCCGAAGATCTTTTTGGCAACAAATACCTTAAGAATCTCCACAAAATTGGAAACAAGTTGAGAGAGGCTTGTGTTCTTCATTAATAGGAATATGAGTAAGACATTTACCTTCTTTATGTGTTCCAGATTACTCAACTAACAATCTCTACCTCCTAGTTCCTAGGAATGGCATGAGAATGAAATAATATAGGTGAAAAGGTTTGAAAATACTTTTAAAGCAACATAAAAACGTAGGTTATAATATTATCTCAGCAGTCCGCACTCATTCTCACCTCCAAAATTATACTTGGAATTTTGAACAAGAGCCATTCTCCCAAGACATCTCTATATGGTCTTACTCATCTCCACCAATCTTACTTCCTAATCTCTGACATTGACAGTTAGCAAGACAGCTGATAGAGGGACATATGACCAGGAGAAGTGAGATCTCCACATATTGTACCTCTTTAGATTACTCCGGGTTCCAAACACTCTGAATAGATACATTTGTACTAAGATAGGACAAGTATAGGACATAGTTGGCTCACTGACTGTGTGATCATATATAAGGCCTTAAAGTCAGGCCAAGGTGCACATAACTTTTGTGAAAGGGTAGGAAGGCAAAGGAGAAATAAAATTTTTTTGTTTGTTGTGTTCCAAGGCGTTATGCTTTGTACCAGCCCTGCTCCTCTGAGGACCCTCCTAGATTCATGGATGCTATATTGGCTCCTTTCATACCAGCTATCAAATCACCGTATTTCTTACTCATGGTCTACCTAGTGGCTTCAAGCAGTCATTCCTTGAAGTATTTACTGAGCGCCTACTATTTGCCAGGCCTTGTTTTACAGCAAGATAAAAATCCCTGCCCTTGCGGAGCTTGTCTTCTGGCGGAAGGAGCAGACTATAACAAAATAATTAATTGTGTAGAATATTAGAAGGTGATAAAATGTTATGGAAAAAAAGCATAGGACAGAAAGTGTGGGAGAGGAGGTGAGGAAGTGGGCAATGCACATGCCAAGGGGAGGCGTTCTAGTCAAAAGGAATAGCAAGTACAAAGGCCCTGAGGCAGGACTATGCCTGGTGTATTTGAAGAGTAGAAAGGAGATCAGAGTGGCTGGAGCAGAGTAAGTGAGGGGGAAGGAGTAGTGGGAAAGCAAAAATGACAAGGGATTAGATCACACAAGGCCTTGGAGGTGCTCACTACTCAAAAGTAGTCTCGGCCAGGCACGGTGGCTCACACCCATAATCCTAGCACTCTGGGAGGCCAAGGCAGAAGGATTGCTTGAGCTCAGGAGTTCAAGACGAATCTGAGCAAGAATGAGACCCCGTCTCTACTAAAAATAGAAAAAATTAGCCAGGCATGGTGGCGCACGCCTGTAGTCCCAGCTACTTGGGAAGCTGAGGCAGGAGGATGGCTTGAGTCCAGGAGCTTGAGGTTGCTGTGAGCTATGATGATGCCACTACATTCTGGCCAGGGCAACAGAGCGAGACTGTCTAAAAAAAAAAAAAAAAAAAAAGTCTTTGGGCCTGCAGCCTCAGTATTGCCTGGGAGCTTGTTAGTAATGCAAAATCTCAGGCCCTATACCAGACCTGCTAAAGCAGAATCTTCATTTTAGCAAGATCCACAAGTGAGTTTGTATGCACTTTAAAGTTCAAGAAGCACTTTTGGAAAGTTTTAAACAGAAGAGTAACATTTGTGTTACAAAGCTCGCTCTGGCTGGCTGCTATATTGAAAAGAGACATGATGAGGACAAGGGTGGAAGCAGAGAGACTGATAAGGAAGCTATTGACATAATCTTGGTAAGAAAGCATGATGTCTTTGATCAGGGTGGTAGGAGCACGGTAATAAGAAATGGTTGGATTCTGGATATATTTTTGAAGGTAAAGCCAACAGGATTTCCTAATGGATTAGATGAGGGATGGGAGAGAAAAAGAAGAGTCAAGGATCACACCAAGGATTTTGGCCATCAGCTAAGATGAGGAAGACTGCACTTAGGTAAGGTTTAGAAGGGAAAATCAGAAGCTGAGTTTTAGATACAGTAAGTGAGATGTTTATTAAACATCCAAGTAGGAGAGGTCTGGGCTGGAGACAGGAATTTGCAGATCATAAGCTCTAGGTGGCATTTAAAGCCATGGGACTGAACAAGATAACCAAAGAAGTGAGTATAGAGAAAAGGTCCAAGGCCTGAGTTTTCAGACATTCCAACATGAAAAGTTTGGTGTGAGGCAGAGAAACCGATAGAGACCGAGAAGGAATGGTCAGTGAGGTAAGAGGAGAAAACCAGGAGAGTATGTTGTTCTAAAAGCCAAATAGAAAGTTTCACAGAGGAGGGAGTGATCAGCTATGGCAGGTGCTGCACATGGGCCAAGTAAGATGAGGACAGAAATAATGACTTAAGTTTTGCAAAGAGGGGGTCATTGATGACCTTGAAAAGAAAAGTCTATACTCTCACTGAAGGGAACAGGGCAGACAAGAAATAGCTTACCGGAGGTTTGTTTTTGTTGATCTTGATGGTGAAGTAGGCAGCAGCAGTGACTTTCCCCATGGGTCTTTGAGCGGTTGGGACACTCCAGCGTACACAGTAGATGTAGTGGAAGCTGTGAATTACGTCTTTCCTCTCTACAAACTCTGTGTAGTTCACCCAGTGTCTTTCATGCTCCCACTTCTGTTTCATAGAAAAAAGGGAAAGCACACACAAAAAAGAAAAGAAGTCTTCTGTTTATGTCCTGTAGATAAATGCAGTGTATGAGAGTCAGTTACAGGCTGGGCGTGGGCTCACACCTGCAATCCTAGCACTCTGGGAGGCCAAGGAGGGAGGATCACTTGAGCTCAGCAGTTCAAGACCAGCCTGAGCAAGAGCCAGACCCTGTCTCTACTAAAAATAGCAAAAATTAGCCGGGCATGGTGGCGTGCGCACCTGTAGTCCCAGCTACTCGGGAGGCTGAGGCAGGAGGATCGCTTGAGCCCCAGAATTTGAGGTTGCTGTGAGCTAGGCTGACGCCATGGCACTCTAGCCCAGGTGACAGAGTGAGACTCCATCTCAAAAAAAAAAAAAAAAGAGTCAGTTACAGCTCTGTTCTGGAGTCCACTCCTAACATTTTTCACTAGGATTCAAACTTGAGTCAACTCCCAAATATCTCCATGGACAGAGGAGAGGAAAGGTGGAGCTGAAATGAAACAAGTGAAGAACACAAACATCATTTGAGATTGAGCTTTGGACTGCAGGGGCACACCCTCAGACGTGAGACTAGACAAGATAACCAAGGAAGTGAGTATACAGAAGAGGTACATACACACTACCCACGTACACACAAACCTTGCTCCAGACCCCTTACTTGGGAGGCAAATTTGGTATTGGAAAATAATTAGAAAGTGATTAGAACACATGTTCTGCTCACCCCAGGAGCCTTAAAGGTGGGACTAGAAAGTAATGAGGTTGCTTTCAGCCATTTGTGAAAATCAAAATTCACTTAATTGCAGCCATAGGTGGTATATAAAATAAGATCAGAAGAGGAATGAGTCAGACAATAGGATGATCCACATCCCTCTGAAAGGAATGATTTCCTGTTTGGAGAAGCTTCCGCCTTTCAAAACACAAATCTTACTAGTGAAGAGAGTCGACAAACAGAAAACTTCCCGTGGACTGTCTCCTTTGTCTGGGCCTCTTCTTGGAGTTGAGATGGGAAGGAATACAGTCAGCTCTGCATCTGCGGGCTCCACACCCGTGGGCTCCCCACCCACTACAGAGGGCCGACTTTTTCCATTCATGGTTGGTTGAATTCATGGATGGAGGGCCAACTAAGGGACTTGAGCACTGCAGAGTTCAGTGTCCTCGGGGGTCCTCAAACCAATCCCATGTAGATATGAGGACCAACTATACACAACTAAGGTTAACTGTATTATTGAAAGTATCAGCATTCATTCAGTCCTTCATCCCTTCCTTCTTTGATTAATTTGTCTATTTTTGATTAACTTCAGTCATATTTGTTCTACCCCAAATATATCTCACATCGCTCCATTCTTCTCCATTCCCACTTCCACTACTCTACTTCAGCTCTCATTGTTTCTCACCTGGACTTAGGCAGAAACTTACTATCTAGACACCATTGCTTTTAACCTCACTTCTCCAGACCACCACACGCACTGAAGCCAGAGTTATTTTCCTTAAGCATAGCTTCAATTATATCTGCTCAGTTCAGAAACCTTCCATAGCTCCCCTTTGCCAAACAAAGTGAAAATGTTTCACTGTGTCATGTAAGACCACCCACAGTCTGGATCTAATAATATGACTTTCTACCCTCATGTCACACTTTTCCCAACGAAAAGTGCATGTTCCCATTAAACTAGAACTTGTCACTATTCCCAATATTTGCTTTTGGTCAGGGTGTTGTCATTTCTTGGGAGGCCTCTCCCTCTCACCTCTACTTGATAAAGTCCTTTTTCCCAAAACTCCCACCTGCATGAAGTCTTCCCGATCCTTTTTCCAACCAGATGTGATTTTGCACCCATCTTTGAACACTCGTGGAACTTGTTTTCTGCGTCTCTTATGGCACTTTGACCCCCCACACATACCCGTGCTACATGCATGAGGAACAATCTGCCTCATAGTCTCCATATTAAAACATTGCCAGCAGGGCTGACTTATCCATAAGGCATAGTAAGCACAGAACCTAGGGCCCACAATACGTTGAAAGGCCCACAAAAAATGTTTTCACTTCTTTTAAAGTTAGAAGAAAAAAATGAACTTTTAGGACCAATGATTATATTCATCTTTATACCAATGCTATCTTAAGATAAAATTGTGCATATTTTTAAGAAGGAAGGGGCCCAAAAAAGGGAAGAGTGCCTAGGGCCCACAGAAATCATAATGCAACCCTGATTCTTAGCACGGGGCCTTTAATATAATAGATATTCAACAAGTCCAATTCAACCGAACCTCCTTGGGCTGGCTATTGGGGCACAGGAAGCTTTGAATCAAAGGAGACCCTGAATTTTAGAAGGTTCATATAAGGAAGGAATTGGGATAGTCTAACAATCCCAGTGGCATGGAGAGGGAGTCCAGGAGGAGATGGTAAAAAGAGTTCAGGCCCTTCTTTTAAAAAAAAAAATGGAAGGCCGGGCGCTGTGGCTCACGCCTGTAATCCCAGCACTCTGGGAGGCCGAGGCAGGCAGATTGTTTGAGCTCAGGAGTTCGAGACCAGCCAAAAGCGAGACCCCGTCTCTACTAAAAATTGGAAAGAAATTAATTGGACAACTAAAAATATATAGAAAAAATTAGCCGGGCATGGTGGCGCATGCCTGTAGTCCCAGCTACTCGGGAGGCTGAGGCAGGAGGATCTCTTGAGCCCAGGAGTGTGAGGTTGCTGTGAGCTAGGATGATGCCACGGCACTCTAGCCCGGGCAACACAGTGAGACTCTGTCTCAAAAAAAAAAAAAAAAAAAATAGAGAGTAGGCTGGCCTTTTGCCTCAGCTTATTTCAAACTTGTATCCAATTGGCTGTTTCAGGCAGCCAGAGAGGAGCACTGGACTCAAGATTCCTTATGATCAGGGACTGTGTCTTCTTCCCTATATCGTTGTTCCTTATAATAAAGGAGTCAAACTGTCAACCCCTGTGGCCCATTGGAGCATGCCCTTTTTTGGTCAACCTTTCTATTAATATACTACTCAATACATTATAGTTTTCCAGCCGAATGTTCAATCTATCACATAATCACAGACTTTGTAACATTGGAATGGTCCTTGGACATAATGTAATGAAGCCCCTCACTTTGTAGATGAAGATACTGGAGCCTAGAAATGAGTAGGGACAGTCTAACACGTCGCCCGGGACTGGTACCCAGAGCTCCCGAGCAGCCAGCTCAGTGTTTCTCCACCCCACCAGATGCCTCAATTCTAAGATTTTCTTCCTCTCAACTTGGCTCTTGGTGGTTGTTTTTTTTTTTACCTTTTATGAACTAAGGCAGCCATAGACATGACATTAAATTTGACTGTTTCCATTAAGCCAGTCTCTTGCCACTTTTATCAACATGCAGGCAACAGACTTTTATGTAGCTCCAGTGAGTGTGTATTATCCTTGTGTTTTGTGACTTTTAAATAGTACTGCTTCATAAATTCACTTCCAGGAAACAGTATCTCACTGTGCTACTCTACCATGGACCACTTAGCCACTTACATATTATTGGACACTCAAAACCAATAGGTACCTGGAAGTATATGCACAAAACTGTTATCCATGTAAGTGACCTTCGGGAGAATAGAACTAAGTACTGTGGAAGTGAAAGGGAAACTTTCGTTTTTTAATTTGTGTCTCTTTGCTCACGGGGATTTTTTTGTAATGATGTGTCTTATTTTTATTATAAAAATAATTTTTACTGTGTGTTAGGCAATAGAGATTCTCCAGTTTTTCTCTTATAAAGAACTCATTGGTTGGCTGGGCACAGTCACACCAGTAATCCCAGCACTTTGAGAGGCTGATGCAGGAGGGTCACTTGAGGCCAGGAGTTCTAGACCAGACTGAGCAACATAGTGAGAGCCCTTGTCTACAAGAAAAAGAAAAATTAGCCAAGCATGGTGGTGTGCACCTGCAATCCCAGCTACTTGGGAGGCTGAGACAGGAGGATCACTTGAGCCCAGGAGTTTGAGTTGCAGTGAGCTAAGATGACAGCACTGCATTCTAGCCCAGGCAACAGAACAAGACCCTGTTTGAAAAAATAATAATAATAATGCAATGAGCCACCATGCCCAGCCTCTGCTTTATTTTTGTCATCAGAAAGTACTACTAAACTTTTTTCATGCCTGTGTCCCAGAATTTTGGGATGCTGAGGTGGGAGGATCACTTGGGGCCAGGAGTTTGAGACCAGCGGGGCAACATAGGGAGACCCCGTCTCTACAAAAAAAAAAAAGGAAAAATTAGCCGGGCATGGTGGTGCACACCTGTAGTCCCAGCTACTCAGGAAGCTGAGGTGGGAGGATCGCTTGAGTCTAGGAGTTTTAGGCTGCAGTGAGCTATGATTGTGCCACTGCACTCCAGCCTGGGAGACAGAGCATGACTCTGGCTCTAAAAAACATGTTTTTTGGCCAGGCGTGGTGGCTCACACCTGTAATCCTGGCACTCTGGGAGGCCAAGGTGGGAGGATCACTTGAAGTCAGGAGTTCAAGACCAGTCTGAGCAAGAGCGAGACCCATCTCTACTAAATATAGAAAAAATTAGCCAGGTGTGGTGGTGTGTGTCTGTAGTCCCAGCTACTCAGGAGGCTGAGGCAGGAGGATCACTTGAGCCCAGGAGTTGGAGGTTGCAGTGAGCTAGGCTGATGCCATGGTACTCTAGCTCGGGTAACAGAGTGAGACTATCTCAAAAAAAAAATTCATTTAAAAAAAATGTAAAAGTATATTTTCTACTAGGGTTGAAAGAATATATCAGACAGACCTACGATCATAACTTCATTTTGCTGCTTAATCAGAGAGACTTTGAACAAATTGCCCAACCTCCCTGAGCCTCAAGCTTCTCATCTGTAAAATGGGTATACTGAAGAGCCTACAGACAGGTTTGTTGTGAGGATTAAATGAGATCATGCATGGTGAAGTGCTTAGCAGTGCTTCGTACATACCAATGCTCAGTAAATGGCAACTCCTAATTTACCATCCCTGATGTGTGGTGGACCCTGGGAAATTGGCAATAAGCTTGAGAAAGTTCTCCATCAGAAATACCTGGCTCTTGGGTGTGGTGGCTCACACCTGTAATCTCAGTACTTCGAGGAGCCGAGGTGGGAGGATTGTTTGAGGCCTGGAGTTTGAGACCAGCCTGGGCAACATAGTGAGACCCTGTGTCTGCAAAAAATAAAAAAATTAGCTGGGCATGCCTGTAGTCCCAGCTTCTCAGGAGGCTGAGGCAGAAGATCACTTGAGCCTGGAAGTTTGAGGCTATGGACAACTATGATCATATCACTGCAGTCCAGCCTGGGCAACAGAGCTAGATCCTGTCTCAAAAAGAAAAAAAGAAAAAAGGAGATGTCTGGCACTTAGATGGTAAATCTCACTTCTGGGGCTCACTGCATTAATGTGGCTGAGAACCAGGTGATTTTATGTCATGAGTGATATAATGCTTTTAGCTTTTCAGTCACCTACTTTCTAATTGTCTCTGTCCTCACAGCACCTCTACAAAGTAGGTAAGACAAATGCTTTGACTTGGTTCTTCATCTGTGAAGAAATAATGGTAATGAATAATAAATCTGTTCATGTATTCAACACAGATTTATTGAGCATTGGTGGTAGAAGAAAGGCAACAGGATACATAAGTAGACTCTGGTATCTTAGGTAGAGGGAAGTGCTAAGGGAAAAATGAATCAGAGAAGGGGAGAGGGTTGCAATTTTATTAATAGACGAAGCGGCCAGAAGAGGCCTCAATAAGCAGGTGGTATTTTAACAAGGGTCTGAAGAGAAGTAAAACAGTTTTTATCTTAGGGGAGAGGGTTCCACGCAGAGGGAACAGTAAGTGCAAAGGTCCTGAGGTGGAAACATGCCTGGAAGTTGAGGAATAGCAAGGAGGCTGAGTGAGGAAGGTGAAATGGGAGAAGGCAGTAAGTGATGGGGCCTGAACCATAAGTTGGGAGCAGGGAGGGGACTCAGATAATCTTAGGCCTTGTACACCACTGTCAGGACTCACTTTTGCCTTTTACTCAGAATGACCAGTGGGATTTTCAAGGGAAATTTTTCTGTTTGCTCTGTGTTCATTCTAGTCTGATTCAGGCATCCTGAGTGCAGTGTCTAAATGGAGATGTGCTTGAGAGCAGGAAAGCTCAAGAGTAACTTGCACCATTCATCCTCACTATGCTCTGGATACCCCTCCGTACGGGAATGGTGAGTGATGCCCACTGGAGCATAGATAAAGGATGTGGAGCCAGAAATCCCTGACTTTTTCTCCTTCCCACCTAACCAGGTCTTCCTAACGCCTAGGAAACTGCCCTGGGAAACTAGCCATAGGAACAGAGACAGCTGGAACTTTTCCCAGGGGAAGGGGAGTTCACCTCTACCAGTTTCAACTGGTCTTTATTCCATGGTACTACAATCAATGTGAAGGGATTTCAAGCCATTCTTTTTTATTTTTTCTTTTAAGAGAGATGGAGCTCCACTTGGTTACCCAGGCTGGAGTGCAGTGGTGTGCGACTATAGCTCACAAGCCACCGCATCTGGCTCTCAAGCCATTCTTCTTTATCCACCCACTAGTTATGCGAAGCAACCCAGGACCCTCTCCGCAAAGCTGCCAGAGTGAGCCATGCAAAGGAATCAGAGCCACACGCAGGCAGAAAAAAAAAAAGGAATTCATAGGCATGTACATCTTACCATGCAGGCAATATATTCCAAAGCTAAATCAAAAAGACTTTTGATCCATCTGCATCTCCTCTGTTAACATGACCATTCTAAAGTTGGTGGTACAGAACTATGTTGGAGGAGCATGTCCCTCCTAGGCCACTAGGCCCCTATTTAATGCATTAGTGTGGACAGATTGCTTAACTAGGAATATCAGATTTTCCTAGGAAATGTAAAGTTAGGATGATACAAACACAGGATTGCCCGGTGTGGTAGCTCACACCTGTAATCCTAGCACTTGGGAGGCCAAGGCGGGAGGATCATTTGAGCTCAGGAATTCGAGACCAGCCTGAGCAAGAGCGAGACCCCATCTCTACTGAAAATAGAAAGAAATTAGCTGGACAACTAAAAATATATAGAAAAAATTAGCCGGGCATGGTGGCGCATGCCTGTAGTCCCAGCTACTCGGGAGGCTGAGGCAGGAGGATCGCTTGAGCCCAGGAGTTTGAGGTTGCTGTGAGCTAGGCTGACGCCACAGCACTGTAGTCTGGGCAACTGAGTGAGACTCTGTCTCAAAAAAAAAAAAAAAAAAAAACAGGGAAATACGATTGTGCTTTTCACCTTCAAAGACAATCCCACCTTGATTTTGGAACCAAGATGGAGACAATTTTTACTAACTCTAATCACCTTTTACATCATCTCCTAGGTTTTCTGATCTTCAAACTTTTGATCAAACAAGAGCCTTCTTATTGTTCTTCACACTCAGTACCAAACTGGAGTGGTCAACTAACTTACCGAAACGAACTTCGCAATTTGTTTACGGCCCCTTTCTGCTGTGAATTCACCGTGTGTGATCCACTTGATATTTTTGATGGGGTTTTCAGCATCTGCGAACAGGTGTGAATTTGTTAGTTGCCTGGTAGTGTGGAACTACATAATGAGACAATTGTTTAGGTACTCAAACAGGATTACTACCTTCCACAAACTCAACAGCAGCATCGATGGCATCCTTAACTATAGCTAGAGCTACGGCAGTCACTTTGCTATCATCTTGGTTATCTGTCTGCCCGTGGATTATAGGTCTGTCATCAAATCTCACTTTCTTCTTAATGTTGACATTTTTACTCACATTCATTTTCTTTTGCCTGGAAAAGGAAATTTAAGAAGTTACTCTCTGCACCCATGTGTGTATATCATACATGTGAACACACTCATATAAATACAATCTCTTGAAGAATCACAAGATACAAGAAACAGTTGTTACCTCTAGGGAAGGGATTAAGGGGTTAGAGTAGGAGTGAGATATCACCGTATACCTGTTGTGCTTGGCTGCTGAGATCTGCTTTTCCTGAAAACCAAGGTTTTTCATATTCTCAAAACCATGAAGACTTAAATTGAAATGTAGTATAATGATTTCTAACTTGTTTGGAGTGCTAACAATATTGATTTCTAGTTGAGTCTTTAATAGAACCCCAATCCCTGCTACAAGCAACTGAAAGCATATGGCTCTTTAAAGATAGTGAATTAAAATGATTAGCAGCATTATAGCAGACGAGGGGTTGGTTTTGCAGTTTTTTTCTCTTGGGTTTTCCAGGTACAGTGTACAATTATATCATCTCCAAGGAACTATCATTTTTACCATCTCTTTTTCAGAAACATATATCTCTTATGAATATTAGCTTTGGTTAACACTTCCAGAAAAATGTTAAATGAAAGTAGACATAATGAGCATCCTTCTTTTGTGTCTGACTTCAGCGGACTTGCTTTCTGGTGCTACACCATTAGGTATTATGCTAGTTTGTAGTTTTAGATTTATCACATCAAGAAAATATTTTCTCCTGCTCTAATGAGATTTTTATCATAAATGATAGCTAAAATGTTCCCAATGCCTTTAACATCTATTGACAATGTGAAAATTGAAGTTATCAGGGCTGTGAACATGGGTCCATCACAGCACTAGGAATCTTTGCACATTTTCAGTCTTTTTTACATTTTTTCCCTTGAGTCTTAGATTCTCTTTCTTTCTCTGCTACTGCTTAAGTCTCTTTACTTATGAGAACTCTCTTACAGACAGCACAGTCTATTTTATTTTATTTTATCTTTTGCCAGCACAGTTATAAATTCCTTGCAGGTAATCCTTGCATTGGGGACGGGGGGCTGCATGAGAGTGGATATCTCTCTCCAAAAGGGAGCTATTTATTTTCTATAAATAACAGCTCCCAATTTGGGGGTGTTAAATTGTTGTGTTTCATTTAGCTATCACCACAGCCCTATGAGATCATGCATTAGATGCCTTCCATTTGTCCTTCCAGACCCACTCTCCCCCTATCTCTCCCTGCTCACTGCCCTGGAAGGCTAACCTGACTGGGCCAGTGCATGAGCTCTCCTGTGCCCTGTGGCTTCCAGGAGGTTCCACACAATAAGGAGATCAGCCTGAAGGGAAGAGGGTGAGGTCCAGGTATATATCCCTGGTGGCTCTCCCCTGATAGGGTTGCCTGTGGCTGGCTGTATGGAGAAGGTCCCAGTTTCTTTCAGGACAGCTTTCTCACACAACTTCTCAGTCTAGTAAGGGTAACCATTCTTTCCCGTCCACCCTTTTGCCCCCCCATTACTAGCCCAGGGAGCTGCACTTTCCTTTGTTTCCCTGCACTCTGGCCACACCTTGGTAATTATTCCCTTTACTTAACCCTTCTCCACTATCCTCATTTTAGCACGCCTACAGTTTCCTACCAGGATCCTAAATCATAAACAGAGGACCTCTCGTTGCCATGTGAAAATGAGGAAACTGAGCTGCATACCCAGACTGGCTCCATAACCTGTGCATGTAATTACACTGCTCTTCTCCCTCCAAGATTCAGAAAGGGTGGCGGGGCTGAAGGAGCTTAGGAAATTTCACCCCAAAATATGACTTCTTGGTATAAAGAGTATTTTGAATTAAGGGCCCTTAGAGATCAACAGGCCTTGGAAGGGGCTTTCACTCTATCTGAATAAATCAGACCCATCAAAAAGAACAATTGACTTCCCTTCCCCCTCCCTGTTATCTCAATATATTGCAGGAAAGATGATCAAGAATGCAACCAGACCTGGCCCAAATCATTTTAAATATAATACCTCTCTCTCAGGTTAATTTGCAAAGAGAATCATTTACAAGTTAATCTGTTTCCCCCATCCATTCATCCTCCTTACCAACCATTTATTGCCCCTAAACAGAATTACCTCTATTCCTCCTCTCCCCCTCTCCTCTAAAAGGAGGGTATAAAAATTTCTGGACCGCATAGGGATATTGGGTAATCATTCTGTGATTCTCATATTAATCTGCCTTAATTGTGAGTTGGATTTTCAGTAAACTTTAGGACAAAAGGGGAAGTTTCCCCCACCCCCACAGGGCTCTGTTCTCACATTTTCATCTGGAGTCTAGAATGTGCCTACCCTCTCCCTGTGAGCCTTTGTTTGCTCTCTCAACATCATTATTGATCCCAGTGGTGGTGAATACTGCACAAGACAAAACAGTTGCCATGAACATCAGTCCAAGAATGATTTGAACAGCCTATTAATATTCCTGTAATAGTGTTGATTGGTGTTCATTTAGGCCTTCGCGTTAGCATTTTAACCTGAGTTTGCCTCCGCCTGAGTTCCCTGTTGCTGCAGCTGGGGGGTAGACAGGATCATCTGCTAGGGAAAATGGAATCTTTCCAGGCTGCCCACTCCAGAGCAGAAATGGCTAAAGGATAGGGGGCGAGGGGTCTGAAGGCCCTTAACACTAGAGAACTGGCTCTCCCTAGCCCATAGGTCATGATGATTTGGCCAAAGCAATTTGCTGTAAATTCTGTAGTTAAAGACAGCCACACAAAAGTTTTTGTGTGAATTGGTAAATTCAGTAGTAGGCTTTGGTGAAGTAGCCATGCAGCAACTTGATCTTCAGAAAATTGCCCATTTGGTGGCTTGGTCACTCACTGACTTGGCTTTCAGCAAATTGCCTATTGATAAATAGACTAGAAACCAAATCTGTGACCTCAAACACTAAGCAAATGGAGTGGGGACTTTATGCATGGAAAGACCTCCTATAGACCTTCCCAGGGAGCCCTGTGCTATAGCAGGAGAGGGAAAGTGGAGAGCAGGGCCCAGGAAGAAGCTCACTTTTTATCCTCCCATGTCTATAGACAAGCATCATTCTTAAGACTCCCTCCTACTGGCCTTGCCTAGTTCTTTTTCTTCCCTTCCCTTCCTAATAAGAGGCCAGATGGACAGGATGAATGAGAAGAGATGGCAGCATGGTCAGGTTTGGGGTCTGGGTGATGAACAGGGAGAACCACTATAAGTCCTTTTTGTGGGCTCCCCCACCCCTAAGGAGTCACAGTACCTGAGCCACCAGATCCTTGTTTCAAGCAGTAGCAGTGGTAGCTGGGGAAGCCTAAGAAGGAGTCTCTAAGCAGCTTTTCCCCAAGATTGCCAGACAGAATGTTTACAGGTGCTGCCAGGGCAACACCAATTCAACCAATGGGAAGCAAAGCCCACGAGTTTCTGACTGCTTCTATTAGTAAAGGCGGGTGAGATAGTGAGGGAAGGAGGAGGAGAGTCAGTCACTGCAACTGTCTAACCTCAATAGCAGGACAAGCTGCAGTAGCCATATCTAGTGTCTTTTTCTTTTTCTTTTCCTCCACATTCAGATCACGGAGACTTTTCAGCAGCAGATGAGCTTGCAGAGCTGTGCCAGGAGAAGCACTGATGCTAAGCCTCGCAGCTGGTATTGAAGTGGAAGACTGGAAAATTCCACTAAAGTGGAATTCTTAGAAATTCCACTACCGGGCTTTCTCCCTTGCGGTCCTTACCTGGGCCCCCTACTGCCCTGTGACCTTTCCCCTCATAAATCACCGGTAGCAATTAGTGTACCAGGCTGTAAAGTAGCTTAGGACCCTGCCTCATTAAACTTACCCCTGTTGTGACCGTGCCCCTCCTCCTCTGCTGCCCTGTGACCTTTCCCCTCATAAATCACCTGTAGCAGTTACTGTACCAGGCTGTAAAAATAGCTCAGGACCCTGCCTCACTAAAGTTAACCCTGTTGTAGCCGTGCCCCTACTCCTTAAGCAGAGTGTATAAAAGACTGCAATGCTCTTTGTCTGGTGCTCAGAATTTGGGGAGAGCAAATTCCCCTCTGGGCCAATTGCCGGCCGATGTGAAGTATAAAACCTGTTTTGCCAAAATCTCTGTGTGTGTCTCTAAGTCTATTCTCGGTCAGCCCTGCGGTAACATTTTGGTTCCCTGACCGGGAAACCCCATTGCCCTGGCCGTTGGGGCCACCGGCTTGAGACAGACGTTGACCGACCGACCCTGATGACCGGCAGGCAATCCAGGCGCCTAAACCCCCGGTTGGGGACACCTTCTTCTCCGTTCGGAAGGGCTCCTCCGACCCACGCTCTCAGGACCCACCCGGACACTGGTGAGGTGTAGGCAACCAGGGAAACCAGGAGCGGCCGTCTGAACCGCGGTAAGGTCCCGGGACCCAGTCCAGAGGTAGCCAGGCCCGTCTCAGGACGGAAGAGGAGCTCAATCACCTCCTAAGAAAGGTTAAGTTTCCCGAAAGTGGGGGGGAGAATGTAATAACCTCTGTGTGTGTGAGTGCGAGTGCTACGGCTCCACGGCCAAAGGCTACGAGTCTGAATGGGTCCTAACCTGCGGTTCTGTGGCAGCGTCGTACGGCATAACGGTGACTCACCCTCCGAAAGGAGAGTGACCAGGCCCGGGGTTTATACGGGTCCACCTTAGCCAAGACGTACCTAAATCCCCGCGAGGGGAGCAGCCAGGCGGACATCTGACAGTAAAAGCCCTCCCTGTGCGACAGCGATCAGTAGGACACAATGGGAGGGAAGGAATCCAAGCCAACTGTCCTTAGGTGTGTGACCAAGAATTTTAGGAAGGGATTTTCAGGTGACTATGGAATTAAGATGTCACCAAATCGCCTCCAGACGCTCTGAGAAGAAGAGTGGCCTTCCTTTGGAGTTGGGTGGCCTGAGTCAGGCACCCTCGACACTTCTATTATCCAGGCAGTCTGGAAACAAGTTACAGGCACCCCTGGACACCCAGATCAGTTCCCCTACATCGATTCCTGGCTAGGAATTGTCCAAACTTTGCCCCCTTGGGTCCGGTTCTGTGTAGAGAAGGGTCAGAGTAAGGTCCTCTTTGCTGAGAAGCCAAGAAAGTCTCCTGACTCCAACTCCAAGTCCATCCACCAAGGGCCGCCGCAAGATAAACTCCGCCTGCTGCCTCCATACAATCCCGGTGACCCAACTCCCGGACCCACCCTGTCGGCACCAGACACTCCGCCACCCTCTGACCTGCTGCCCCCGCTGC